AGTAAATGTTAGCTGACTTTTAGTGTGTTTTGTTTTTATAGCAAACTGGGAATAAAACAATTCCCTTATCTAGAACATACAGCCCTGGGAGGAACCTCCCTATCTGTTCTGCAGTTTCCCAAACAGACCCCTTTTTTTTAATCACAACTTTTTTTTCTATCTTCCTTTCCTTTTGTAATCATGTTGAACAGGGAATCATCAGCTTTCAGACCCTTTAAACCTATTTAATATCAAAGTACACGCTCTTTAAGAGGCTGCAGAAGACAGCATGGTGCTCTTTGCCCTGCAGGAGAATTATCTACTCATTTGCATGCTGTGCAGGATACGCCTCCTTTACGACGTGAATGAGCTCACTATGTGAAACATGTGTACGTCTTGTTTACGTAGAAACAACAGCAGGAGATAAATAACTCAATGTACAGACCACAGAGAGGACAGGCGTATAGGGGGAGGGTGGGGGGCAGGAACCAGCCGCGAGCGACCTCAGCTAGTCAGCACCGGTTCCACAGACACACACACCAAAATGCTAGAAAATTAAACTGTGGGTGTGCGTGTCTGAGGGAGGGGACAACAAGAGGGGGTGAGGGGTAACGGGAGGGAAGAGACGACTAGACTGGTTTAAACCTGCGATGACAGCATTTTAGTTAGTGTTCAAAATTCTCACAACAATCAGTGATGAAAACAAACACAGTGGCTTTGCACATCTTATCTGCCCTGGATTTGTCTGCAGAAAGACATTATCCTAGATGCTAATGTCATTATACACACACTGACACACACAGCCTGTCCTCCTCCTCCAACAGCTCTATTAAACCCCCATTCTCTGCTCCATGACCTCCTCTAACAGCATAATAGAAGGAGAAGTACGGTAATACAAATCAACAACACAACCTGAAGTGAGGCTTTTCTGCACAAGGGTCAAGAGTAACTGACGTATAAGTACATTTATAGGTAATTTTGCAGCGCTTGTCCATAGATTGCAGTGACTAATGACATAGATATTGATCCTTCTATTATAATCATGAAATTAAAAAAATATCTGCTTGTATTTTAAAGTTTTTCCTTTTTCCATTTGATACTTTGAACAGTACCTTTGAGACAAGACAACGCTCTCTAAGCCTTTTAAATTAAATACTTATCCAGTCATGCACAATTATGTGAAAAACTCTGTGCAGTTCTGTAAAAAACTAAGTGCACCCTACGACTCAGTAGTTTCCCTTGAACCACCTTTGGCACCCATGACTTGCAATAATCATTTTCTGTGTCACTTTATCACATTAAATGTCCCGCTTTTATTTGCAGCATTGCTTCAGTTCACTGAGCTTATCAAGCATTTATACGCGCACAGCTCTCTTAAGGTCCCACCGCAGCATTTGAGTCTGGACTTTGAGGCCTTGCAGCACCTCGATTCTTTTCTTTTTCAGTCATTCTGCTCCGTTGTCCTTGTGATCATTCACCTGTTGCATGAGCCAATTTGGGTCGAGGCTTAGCTGTCGACCTCACGTTTGACTCTAGTGTCGATTCAATGACTCCTGTGTTCGGATTTTACCAAACATGGTGCTGTGCATTATGCTCCAACATCTCCACTTTGGTCCCATCTGTCCAAAGGACATTGCTGCAGCAGTCTGGTGATTTTTCAGACGCCTTTCTTTCCAAGCTCCTTAGACTACCATGACCTGGATGACTGAAAAGCTTCACAGACATAGAGAGAAGACGCTTTCTTCTGACGGCGTATCCAAACAAACCATCGTTGTTCAGTACTTTTCTAATTGCACTGTCACAAACATGTAACATGCTAACCGAGGGCTGTAGAGTTCTTTTGCAGTTTCTCAGAGGACTGCATGCTTTGACCTTGAGATGTAATTGCTGGGACTTTTGCGCTATTGCATTAACGCAAAATGCTTCAAACAAGAAAACTCTCCAAAGTTTAGCTTTTATGGAAATAGTCAAACTTCCTGATGATAAATAGCAACACCTAGCTTACAAGTACCGTCTTGATTCCTTTGGAAGCAGGTTGGACTTAGTTTTTCACCAAACTGCGCTGATTCATGTGAAAACTTTGGTCTTCACACGACTTTACACTCTGGGGCAAAAATAAAAGGATTAAAAAAAACAGGATATAACTGTATAATTCAAGCAAGCATGAATGTTTTTCTTATATTTTCACTCAACTAGAGAAAATACTGAATGACACTCATTGTTTTCCAGTAACAACAGCTTTACCGACACTAGGGGTGCAAAATTAGGTTGACCAATGACACTTCTTTCTGTGAATAAGCTTCTTGTCAGTCATATGGTGAGGCATAATCTTATTTATCTTTCTTTTTGACTCTAAGGAGATCACCATTTACAAAATCAACATTCTGTTGTATACAGTAACACTTGAAATGACCCATTTAGCCCAGGAAAAAGGTTGCGCATCAAGAGAGCTGAAGTGCTGTTTTCCATAGTCGCCTGCACAACAGGATGCATCTCTGCAGCATGAGGACTTTCCTCTTTGCTGATTAGAAGGCTTTTACGCACACTTCTGTCGCCGCCCTTTCCATTCAAGTCCTCCTTTCAGCCACTGGTTGTGTCAATAGTACGACAGTGCTTCGTCTTGCTCCTCAGGTAACCCCCCCCTCTCAGCTGACAGGGCCTGATATCATAAATGTACTTGAGGCCAGTGGGGCAGTGGGTGTGGTTTAGCTCCTGACATCTGAAGCTGCTCGTGGACTCACAGGAAGCGACACACTGTTGCCTCGTAATCATATTCAGGCCACCAGCAGACTGGCAGGGACACTTGTCACCTTACAAGGATAGGAAAGAGTGTGTGAACGCACAGAGGTGACATTGCAGAGGGATCACTTCGGTGCAAGTTTAGAATCTGCTGAACAAAAAAAGAAAATGGGAGTTTTTAAGCTATTAAAATGTCATTAACTCCACTAAGAACAGCAAATCAGAGCAAATACTTGCCTGGCTGATACATCTGTTTAAGCATGTCTGATTTAACATGATAGTTCTGGTCTGCTGACCTGCTGTTAATCATTCACAGGGCAGATTTAAAATTAGAGAGAATGTCCCACTGAGGCACGTCTGTCCTTCACCCACATCCACAGGTGTAAATCTGTAAGCGTGAGTGTGCAGCTGCCATTAAGACCACAACGCAGACTTTAACTCATGGAGACAGACTGTTAAAGAGCAGCTTCACTGTCAGCCCAAAATACAGATTTGGCTCATTTAAGTCTTCAATCCATTCCAGGTTTTTGTCTTTAAGAGGTGTTTTGACAATCAGTGATCTAAAATAAGAGTAAGAAGACAATTGGAAAGTGTTGAAAACACTCAGATACTCAGAATCAATCAGCAAACGTCACCCACTTAACCATTAGAAACCTCTGGTGCTTTGAGCTCAATGTAGCAGATGATGTTAAGGTTGAAGTCCCACTAAGGTGACCTAAAGGTTTATACGAAAATAGAAATGCTCTTCAAAATAACTGCGTGATTTCCAGTAAAAAACAACGTAATTTATAGTCCTCTAATGAACTATTAAGGCATTGTACTGAACAAAGTTGAATTATGTGTAATTCCTCATTCACAGTGGAAGAACAAGTTTTAGAAAGCATGCCTCTTGTTTCACTAACTACTTCCTGGGTGATTTCTGGGCAGCGGGCTCAGACTCACTCTAAGAACTCATCTGGGTAAATTTCCAAATCACTGCAGCCAGAGCACTGCCTTTGATAAGCCTTAAATAGAAGCCAGGAAAAAAAGCATGTAGCGAGATTTGCATTGTCCATTTGTTCCTACCTGATATACAGCTGGTCATTCTTGTTCAGGAGTGACAACAAAACTGTTTGCAAAGTTATATAAAAATCTTTTTTAGCTGCTTGTGCTGGCACAGACTTTAAATGTGTGCAACAAAATCTGAGCTGGCTGCAACTGACTCCACGTGACTCATTTGGACTGGTGACGAGGTATAAACATCTGGCCAAGCCTTTATTCCCTGAAATCACTATTTACCCGTATCTAAAGGGCAAAATCCACGGTCTTTATTACTGTGCAGACTCTCGGGAAGACCTTAACAATATATATTGTGAACGTTTTGGGGGCATGAACAAAGAGACGTCATTCCTGCCATTAGATTATAGATTGTAGAAGGCACAGAAAGAAAAACCGACTGTAGGCATGTGAAAAATGAGCCAATAGCAAAATGTGTTCTGAAGCTGAAGCTGACGTTTTGTTTTGGCATAAATAATCAGTTTCATCTTGAGTAGGAAACTAAGTGTGACTTAAGGTGAATCAATTTTTTTATGGTTTGCAATGATTTTAAGCCTTCTGGAGCCAGGTACCCCTTACACAAGGACCCCAACATAAGTGATTTCTCTATCTGTTGGAAACTTTAATTTTTCAACCATAACGCTGGTGCAAGCGATCAACATCATTTGTTGGCAATGTAAATATGCACAGAAGTCAACTAACAGTCCAGGACTTTTAGGATCCCCAGCCCCAATCAGAGAACCATAAATCTCATGCCTTGTTTACATAGACCTAATATTAAAGGAAATGTCATTTTGTGCAACAACATGGGTTGGCTACAGTATGGTGATGGTAACAAAACATAACCGTACAAAATATAAATAAAGAAAGAAAAGGGGTGATGCTCTCTCTATGGATCAGTATAGAATAAATAGAAAAACCTGACTCCCGGATGTCAAACGATATCAAGGATCACATCATGATCATAGTTTGAGAGAGTCAAAATCATCTTAACTCACTTGTCATTTTGCACCTGTTATTTCGTTTTTCCTACACAAGCGGCTATTTATGCTTTATCCACATCAACACGTGCAGATGGAGGCACAACAAAGCCACATACACAGGAACAGAGCGCAGGAAGCACTGCACAAGCCTACAGTACGTGCATTAAGGAGGGGTTAGCCGGGAGGGAGAGTGTACAGGAGGAACGCACAAGAAAGGAGGGAGGGTGAGAGAAAGCAGGCGTGTCCATTCAGCATGCTCCGGGGATTAGCTATTTAAAGTGCTGCGACTGCGCGCCACTGAAACCTCTCCACGGTGCCAATAAGGACGCGGATCTCAGGACGTGCAGGACGAGGCAGCGCAGCAAGGACACAGAGTGAAGCACATTTTAATGAGGGGACGCAGATAAAGAGTGAATAGACGCGTAGACAGCGAGACGAAAATCAGCAGTATCCAGTATTTCATCGGGTAAGTAACCAAACTAACCCTCAATTCAACCATGACTGAAAGGTTGTATCAAGTTGTATTGTAAAAACTTGCTTGAGTGCATCTCGGGGTTTTTAAATGTTCTGTTAAAGCTTCACGTAGGTCATGATTTATTGTTCGAATAAATAGATAACCTCGTATGTGATCTTCTCTTATCAAACAGCTTAAGTGTGAGAAGAGGAGGTGTGTGTTTGTGGGAGGGTGCCTGATTATGACACTGTCTGGCAACGCATGGAAGACACTATTACTGACAACAGCCTGCCACACTCGATTATTTACGCGTGAATAAGTCACCGATTCTTCTTCTTATCTTTCTTCTGCGTTAATTAGCAGCAAGATTTATGGTCCAATAATGCGATTTATAAGCATGTTTAACCTCATGCTACCAACTTTAACACATTTCAATAGCCTAGACAAGGAGGAAACGCCACCGCCCCTTTCGGACAGCTTAAAGTTGTTCAAGGAGACAGAGACACGAGTGATGCGCGCAGTGCTCCAGATGAAAGCTCAGATTAGCCCGTCTGGCGTAGTCCGAGCATTTCATTCAAACTTCCACCTGTACGCGCGCACAGGACTCCACCTCACACACTCTGTGCCTGTAGCATAGGCACAAGGAGATTTAACAATCCGGTTAGGGAACTTCTTTAAATAACAAGTTCAGGCATGGGAAAGCGTTAAGTGTCGTGAAAGTGGTTTATGATTCATAAAAAGCATAAACCAGTACTGAAAAGACGTTTCTGGTTGTACAAGTTCTAGCATGTAAGAGGAAGATTGTTTACAACACTGGATTTGTTACAAATTTCAACTTAACTTAGAGTATCAAGTTATTATCTTTATTTTTTTTTGTTATTTTCTTAGAAGTTTGAGTTACTAAGTCAAAAAATTGAGATAACAATCCAACATTTTGGCTATTTTATTTCTTTATTTCTTTATTTATTGTAGTGGCAAAAATAAACAGCCATAAAACATGTTAGAGGAAATTAAAAACAGAAATCATCAAAGATTTCTTTTTTTTGTAAGAAAAAACCTCTTATTTGAAATATAGTTCAACAGTTACATAAATGTTACATCAAAAAGAGGACTTGTTTCATAAAGGTGCAGCATCAGCGTCTCATCTAGACACTGAAATAAAACATGTTGAGTTATTAGCTGGCTAGCATGTTGACGTGACATGAGATTTTCCATCTATTTGGTATAATCATGTAAATTAATTTTATGAAAAATATATTTTGCAGTCTTTAAGAATTAGTTCAAATATGACATTTAGATCGAGTACTAGGCCCACTGCACTTTTCAACAGGAGCCGCTCGGGCATAGAAACCCATGAAGCTCCCAGCTGATAGTTTAGTGCTGATGTTAATGCCAGAGGAAGTTTTGGAAGTTTGTTGACCTCACTTTGTAACTTTACATGGTTTGACACTCCCTGGCTGAGTTGCTGTGGCTCTAAAATGCTTCCACTTTGCAAAAACACAACATATGTTTTTAAATGTGGAATATCTGGAAGAAATTTCACAAATTGATATTTTATAGTGGTAACACCCATGCTCAAATCCATCTGGATGAGATTAATTTGAGCATCTTTACATTCCTTTGTTTGATTTATGAGCAACTGAATAGCTGACAGATTTCTGTGGAGTTAAAAACAACTTGTCTCGTGAATACAGAGAGAAGTAGAGGTTTAAAATGAGCGGGCCTATCACTTTTCTTTGAATATTCAAGGGAAGATGTTCTAAAAGCTGTTTTATCTTCCATCTCTGATGAATATGAATAAAAGCTGACTGCATGCTGCTACTAATGCACACAGAGACATCTGCAGGTAGACGTGCACAGAGTGTGTGCGTCATCCAGTCTGGAAAGTCTGTATGGAGCTTTGTGGCAGGCAGACTGGCCTTTTTAACTTTTATTTATTTATTTATTTTTAAATAAAACTCCTGGGACTGACTGGAAAAGGTCAGGCCCAGTCCCAGCTGAGTGGAAGTGTGGGAAGATCGTTATCATGTTCCTGCATGAATATGTGCTTTGAAGAGTGCAGACAGAGAGGATCGGTGGCATTTGTGGAGGGTACAAAATATATGAAGGGATCAGATTTAATTTAGCTTAAGTTTCATAATTATTCTGTTAGGTTTCGTCAACGACACACACACTCACACGCACATGCACAGACATGTGCTTTAAATGATGTGACACAATGCTGGCATAGATCGTGAGCCAGAAGCCGCTCGCTAATGTTTCTCGGAGGGATTGCGCAACCTTCAGCTTCACCAGCAAAGCGGCGCTAATTGAACAAGTAAAACTGCATTATTTAGGAGCGGCATGTTAACCACATAAGCTGCCTGCAGGCTGAACTCTCCGCTGTGACAAACAGGCATGGGATCCTAACAGTCACAAACCCTTTCCCCACTTTTCCTCATCACTCCTATCCTCCTTTTGTGACTGTAAGCCTTTTTAAAAAAATAATTTATGATGATGTTTTTCTTAGTCGCCTTCCTTTTCTGCTCTTTCTCATCCCATCCTCAGCCTTCTTTATTTTGTCCTTTTCCTTAAGTGCTTTTCCTCTTGCCCCCTCCCTTCTTTGTGTGTGTGTCTGTGTGTGCCATCTGAGGTTGTTTTTCTTTTTCATGCTCCCAGGCCTACTGTGTGCTGCCAGACCCCCACAGCCAACCAAGATCCGTGCCCAAAATTCCTCACTACTGACCAGCCCTTCATATTGTGCGCGCATTTGTGTGTGTGTGTATGAAACTGGTTCAAACTCTGTACTGTCCCTGTTCCCGTGCTATACTGTGATTTCCCAGAACCTCTAAATTGACCTAAACATAATGGAGTCACTGTGCGTGTAGATGGCATAAGGTTTCAGAGCCACACCTGACTGAAATGCAGATGGGAGGAGTATCGGATGGTTGGAAATAGAGGAGGAAAAAACGCTCGTACTGTGAGAATTTGTCAAGAAACAGGGTGGCTGTGAAATTAGTGTCAGAGTTTCACACTTAGAGGACACATACCTCCCCCATTGGCTTGTCTGTGACGGGGTGTAGCAGCTCTGAGACCGTGGGTATGTGCGAGCTGTCACGTCTGCCTCACTGAGTCAAGCAGCACGACCAGTCAGCAGTAAATAGTTGTCGGGGCCGGGGTTTTGGGGGGTTGTATATTTACCCAGGATTGCCTTTCTTTATGTTGCAATCACAGTTTACAGTTTGCGATCAGATATCTAAACGTGCCTCTGGGATGAATAAACGGTGAATTATCAAACTAAAAGAGGTTTCCCCATCAGAGTGACGAGGTTTACTTCAGACAGAGGTGAGAGGATTAGGATCAAACCTGCTCTGATCATAAATATTGTGACTAACTGGCTGAAGGTTTAAGTTCAATTAAAAAAAACAACAACCCAAAATGCAAATAAGGAGCTGATTATTACTGTATCCCTTTAAACGAATGGTGGGGTTGGGCACGCATGTCATAATGAGGATGTCAATGTACACTTTAAGCCCTGCATGACTGTTTAAAAAGGTGTACATCATATAAGAGATATCATATAAAACTATATTTAATGAAAAAAAAGCTCAGCATTTAAAAAATAATATTGATAAATTCAGCTTTTCATCTTTAGCCAACCATGACAAAACAATTATACTGCAGGTCTCTGGACACTGAAGTCTGAAGCTCCCTGTCCATCCATCATCGTTCCTACAAAGACATCACACCCGGAGAAAATCGTGCCTGCTTTGTGTCACATCTTGCATCCTTTTTGCTTCACTTTGTGGGTTTTTGTGTGCAAATATTTGCAGTTGTGCAACCCTTAAACATCAATTTTTCCCTTCTTCTGCTTTTGTCAATTTGTAAAGACCCCAAAGGGAAGTAAAACATCTACCAGTGCAGATGCCAGTTATTCATTCCATACTTCACTGTTGCCCTTCAATTGTACCTCAAAAGAATTACTGTAATCATTACTGATAGGAAATCTTGCTAAGTGGTTAGATGGTATTATTCCTTTATGTATTTTGTCTCCTCAGCTTCCACTTTGTCTGGTAACAGTTAAATGTGAACATTTATTAGACTGGCATGTGAGGAATGAGCGCTTGCACTTCTCTGCGCAGCTACAATAGAAACTGTCAACGTCCATCAGCTCCCTCTGCTCTATTTCACCTGACCTATTTCTTAACCTGATTAGCCTAAAATAAATACCTTTTTTCTTTCTAAGCAGCTACAGCTCTGTGCCGTCATGTGACCCTTTATCTCCCCGCTGCAGAAAGGCGGACAGTCCGCAGGGAAATCATGAATTTGACAGACATGTCTGGGTCGAGCTCTGCAGATAGGTCGAGGTTGAGCAGCTGTTTTTTTTTTTTTTTAAAGTTTGATTTTTGCTCTTCAATATCAGTTAAAACAACAGATTTAGAGGCAAATTTGAGAAACTGAAGTTTTTGCTGATATGAGATATGAGGCTGTCAGCTGTGACGTGCCTACATCAGACGACCTCTGTGTAAAATGTCTTTGCTTGTCAAAAGAGAGCTTATCATTCGCCCTGGCTGCTGTAGTGCACTGACGTCCTGTTCCAGGATTAGACGGCGCGGAGGGTGGTGGTGATGGAGTGGTAAATAGTGACTGAGTGGTTGGTTGCTGGGCCGCCGTGCCATTCGGTGATACTGTCAGCTTACATTAAGCGGCCGCGCTGGTGAAGCGCAGCATCATAATTCCATTAAACGGTGACCTGGTGAGGAGACGATGAACTGTCAGCAGAGCTGCTGTGGCTGTGATGGGGCGGCTTAAGTGCGAGCTGTGGAAGAAGTGTTGTCACGATGGTTTAACTCGGCTTACTTCATATTTGAGAGAAAGCTCGTGGAAGATTTGCGTACTTTCCAATCAGCTCACTTATATTTATGTCTTTCTTCACTTCTTTCTCTCCTCAGGCATCTCTATCATGGGTGTGAAGATGTTACAGTGCTTTCCCTTCTACAGACGCTGCAAAGAGCGCTGCAAGAGCAGGCAGTGCCCGCCCCCTCCAGGTGAGCACCACCTCCTGTATATTCCAACTGTATGAGAAAATCAAATGCAGAACAAACCGCTTGACTCTCTATCTGCCACCCATACAGTGCCTGTGGAGGAGATGAAGCCACGTCTGTCCTCTACGACATCCTGGGGGAGTGACAGCGAAGGAACAGGAAGCATCAATCGGGGTTCCCAGATCTATTTCTCCACCAAGGCCCGGCTTTCTTTCAGACACCAGCTGGACAGCAACATCAATGCAGTGGATGCCACCTACTGAGGAAGACCCAGGGCTTCATAGGACTTGAATGGACTCAGTTTTCCATCGCCGGTTTATGCTTGGAGCCCGATAGTAGAGCAAACACATTTTGACGCCACCTTTAAATGGGAATGGCGGTAGAGTTGCAGAACCACAGTTTGTCTTTTAACTGCTTGTTCCTCGCTGCTCGCACACAACTGCTAACGATTCGTCAGATTCAAAGGACAGAGGAAAAAGGACTGGGATGAGACGGCGCTCAGAAGTCAGACGAGTAGATCCGCTGCCCAATCGGGCATACTGATGAGGGCGAGGACAATGTAGAGAGTTGTTTACAGCGTTCACTACCAATAAGTGCATTACTTTGTCTTCTGTTTGGAAGGTGGTTTTTTTTTTACTGTGTTTCTTTTATATTTCTTTTTTTTTTGACTACCTTTGTAGAAAAAGATCAATTTGCTGATTAGATCATGGCTGGAGTTAATTAAGGCTGTTTCACAAAGCGAGAGGAGGAAGATAGCATTGAGTGTGATGAAGTGTGTGACTATCTAAACCTCATCATTAAGTCATTATCGTGAATTAACTTTCTAATCCTGCTCTGTGACACAGAACCCTGCTAGTTTAAAGTGAGGTAATAAAACAGAAAATGGTTTGCTGTTTTATAAAAGACATTAACTGTAAAAACACGAGGTGGGACTGTGTGCAACATCTGCTGACCAGGTCTGAGCCTGTTTAACAGCAGTGTTGTTAATAGTTAATAGTGATCTGTGAGATCTACGGTGGCCCTGATACTTCAGAAAGGCTTGCTGAAATCCAGTTGTGTTGTGCACCACAGGGCAACCGTATGAAATAAGCCGAGCTACACAGCAGCTTATTTCTGATAGGTATTTTCTTAGTCTTGCTTGATTCTGATCAATATTTTTAATTAGAAAAAAAGACGCTCTGGCTGTGTTTTTAAATTGCACCTTTTGTTTTTTTGTAAGAAAACCTTTCTGTATTTGCCCAAATTGAAAAACTATGACTGTTAAATGCTGATCAAAAAAAAAAAAAAAAAAAGACTAATGATCACTTGTTCAAATCCAGAGTATGTCAAAAATATCTTCATTCTAAACTAAGCAAATATAAAATAAGTTCTAACAAAATGTCTCCGGTGTGTTTTTTTTGGGCTGGGGGATATATTGCTTGACAATGTTGTGAAGACACAAGGATACCAAATATTGGCATTTTCTAAAAACTAAATTCAAATACTCCAGGAATGCTACAAACAAGAGGGCTCCTCTCGTGCACGACCATCTGCAAAAAACATCACCCAAGAAAACTCGCGGTTCAACACTGGACACTGACCTTAACCCCTGGGGGGTCTTAGAAAAATGCATACACTATCGGACCTAGAGCCACAAATCGACCCTAAGACTCCCCAGGGGTTAATAAAGCTGCTTCCTAACTCAGAATAAGCTCAGGCACATGAGCCCAACTGGACTGGCTGCCTATTGTTTGTTTTCTGGTTATATTACTATGGAACAGGAAGTTTACTGAGTGCAAGTCTAATAGTTAAATGTGAATTTCTGTTTGTGTAGACAGCAGCAGATGTGATTTTTGATGATTTATCGCAGTTAATTGGAGTGTTATCAGAAACAAATTGCAAATAACTTCCAACTTGTGGACTGATATCAGACGTGCTCGCTCTTATAGCAACATTTATGGCAGGTTTTAGTGACGGTCTGCTTGACAGTCTCATTTTGCAGGAAAAAAAATAAAGTGAGATAACTTTATGTTACTGGATGAAACAGATGACAAACTTTTAGCTTTGAGGACACAATTTGTTGTTGAAAAAATGTGATAAGTTGCATGTTTTATCGCAAAATACTAAAAATAGCAATAATATGGTATCGCGTGGAGGCCCGGCGATGCAATCATTATGGATAATGTTCAGAGAAGCCGTGAAAAGTACACAGGCAAGATGGAGATGGGGCATCTAGTGGACAATATTTATTAAAAAAATGTTTACAGGTATAAAAAAAATAAAACAGTTTGAAAACAAACTTCTTCAGAGTTGTGAGCAGTTACGATGACTGGATGTTTTTGGGTTTGGAGATGACGCCGTCTGGATAACGTTTCTTAAACCGAGCCACGACCTCGGGATCCAACAGATGAATGCCGTCCAGCTGGTTCCCGAGAGTTATCCTGGACAGGAAATGACACAGACATTGTGAGGTGTGTAGAGCAGCTCGCTGGTCTCTAAATTAAAGCATGATGGTATGTTACCAGTTAGGCTGGACATTGTGGGGTCGACCAAAGAGCTCAATCTTCCTGGTGCCGGGTGAGAGCCTCTCTATCATGCCGTAGATCTCGTCTGGCTTGTGACTCGTGGAGCGGACCTGAGAGCGCACAGACATGACTCAGGCTGAAGGAATTATGGGTAATGACACCACGTATAACAGAGGATTTACAGCTGTTTACCTCTGCCACGATGACATCACAGTCCAAACCCCTGTTGAACCCCTGCGGGTTTCCTTTTACACCAACCTGAAGGCAAACACGTTTAGAATGAGACAACACAGGTTCAGCTATTTCAGCTATTGGACGGTTAAGAACGACAAAACCAAAAAGTTGCTGAAGGTTAAATTCCTCGAGCCCGAACCCCAACGGGACCGTCCTCACAGTATAACACTGAGATTGGTTCAAACCTACCAGGCAGTGCTCCTTCCCGTGGTTCAGCCAATGACCCGTCCTGCCGGTGCGGATGATTCTCTGGAGCTGGTTGGTTTTCACCCAAATGATTTCATCCACACGCTCATAGCTGAGAGAGGAGGATAAAGGCAGAATGATTAAAAAATAAGGGGAAAAATATGACACGATGTTGACAGAAAGGCAAAACTTACCCCCAAAGGCTGAGGCACTCTCTGCCCAGCTCCATAGCCCTGAAACAGGAAGAGAACGTTGAGTCTGAATACCATTTCTAAGAATAATGTTTAGGATTGGGGGAAATATCAGTTGTCAGACATGTAGTTACCTTCTTTGGGTAAATAATTAACCTGAATAGCAGCACAAAGTAGTGCCAGCTTCCTGTCGTGCTGAAGCTGAGTGAAGAGCTGTACTCAAACACTGACCGGGCCTCTCATCATTTATGACGAGTGAATGTAAAACTGTAGAGATCTGGCACCCTGCGGCCGATGTCATATTAACGAGAACAGAGAAGCCTTGTGCAAGTTCCCTGTTCGATAGATTTATTTGCTAAGCCAATGCAAACTAAGCCACCAGGTTTTCCCCATCACCGCCACATGTTAATGTTGGGCATATGTGCACTGCTCACTTAAACACCTTGTTCCCAGCTAAAAGTCTACTTCTTTAGAGCCTTGCTGAATGACGACATGCCCCATTTCTTTACCCAGTCTTTCATTCTGTCAATGACTGTCGCCCAAGCTTCTATCTATCGATCTATTTATCTAATCTAGACTTTAAAACGTTTATATTAAATTGTAGTAAACTAAGTGAAGTCTCATCTTAAGGGAAAGTGTTTCATAGGGAAGAAAGCAGCCATTATTCTCTAGAAGTTTAACTTAAACAGGCTGAGGGGCGTTAATTTGTAGATCAAATGAAACATTCAGCTATGAGTTAAATGTTGACATAAAGTGGTCAGCTGTCCTGCTAACTGAGCCAGACTTCCGGACTTCTTTTTAGTTACCTGCCAGTGACCCAGAGGAAGAGGAAGCCGTCATCCTGCAGGATGGGGATGTTCAGTTTTCTCATCTCGTCATCGGTCAGAGTACCGTAGGGCAGCTCCATGTGGATGTCCCAGGGAGGGTCAGCCATCACTACGGCGAACTTACCCAGGATGGACACGTCCAGGTAGCGGATATCACAGCAGATCCACTGAGTACCAAAGCACATAAATCACACTATTTTACGATTTTAAAAGACATTATGACACACGAATGCGTCCAGTCTCATAGGCTTCTTTTAAATCATCCCCATCCTCCTCCTCACCTGTGAAGGGAAGAGTTTGCCCACATTGCTGTCGGCGTCCCCTGCGTGGAGACCAAGCTCTGTGGTCCCCGCCTGGGGCCCCAGCAGGTTCCCCTCGGTCTCCGGGGGGCTGTCGATCTCATAGTGGACGTACTTACAGGTGTCCATGTGGAAACAGGTGTTGAGGAAGGAGCAGTCGCCGAGGCTCTCGTCTGTGTGCTTGTTGATGATGCGACTGCATGAAAAAACATAAAGTTAACATCACAAAGTTAAAAAAAATTGACACCTAAATTGCATTTAGGTGTCAGACCTTGTGAAGCAAATACAGACCGAAAGTGTAACTTGGTGCATGGCTGGTTAATGCAAGGTTTAAGCTGTTAAATGCTCACATGAACATAATAAAAGTGGGCAGAGAATCCCTTTTTATGTAGGACAGTTTTCCAAACTTTATGCATTAGAAAACTTAAAATGATGCAAAATAAAACTTCTGGTGCAGCACATTAGACACATGTATGAGCAGAACACTCTCAAAACGTGGTGTGTCTCATATTTATATCAAACAGTATTTAGCATAATCACAGTGCCACCTGGAGGCCAAAGAGAGTATTACTCAAACACTTATGGATGATTGCTATACTTAAAAAACAAAGCAATTAATGGGTAAATGTACTTAGCAGGTCAGCTAGAATTTCCCATATTTATGATACGCTCTTTTCTAGCTGTAGCACAGCAGCCTGTATTCTCGTGATTTGGACAATCCAGGACCGTCATGGAAATAAACTTTCAGTCTAGTTAGTTTATTATCATGTCTGCTGTGTTTGATTTCATGTTTTTGTTGGTAGCAGTTTAATCTGTGGGGCTGTCTGTAACAGTGTCAGACTTTGTGAAGCAAATACAGACCGAAAGTGTAACTTGGTGCATGGCTGAGGTGTGTCTCCAGCGCGAACACATTCTTCTTTGGTCCCGTGATCGCAGAACTCTTGGACCTGAGCTCGGCCGCGGGATCTGAACTTTTCCACGATGGACTGCTCCTTGGCTGTGCTGGCGTTCAGCAGCTCCAGAATCTCTCG